TGCTTTATATTTGGTTGGCTTCTATTATTTATATTTTCCCTTGTTTTACGGCTACCATTCAATTTTGTTTTTAACAAACTTTTTGAAATCTGCAGATGGCTCCGTTTGCAAAAAAAAAAAAGTAAATATAAATATGTTTCTAAACCTTGTATTCGTATTATTTCCGAATAGAGCCTAGTAACAACTAAAATGAAGGCAAAACCATGTGAACTGAACATACGAGGGGAATGCAGGTAAAGACGATGGCCCAATAATTTGGATAATCTATAGGCATTTTTCTCTAAAAAAATAGGTATAGAATCAATCAGGATGGCAATTTTTCACTCTTTGACCGATCGAACCAGGGATGAAGATATTATTATTTATTATAATATTTATATATGAAAATATATTTAAAATATTAATTTATTCTTTATTTTAAATAAACTTATTTTTCTTTTTAAAATACTGTTAATTAAAATTTTTGAGAATTTGAGTCCCTGCAACCTGTTTAATTAAGAGATTAGAGATGAAGGATAACTGTTTTTTCTTCTTTTGAAAAAAAATCTGTTTTCGAAAAACAAAATCATTCATATCGTCGAACATCCTGTAAATGAGCCTAAAAGTCAAGCCTAAACACAGAAAACAGCCCACGCTGGCGTTGAAATAATCTATCCTGACCCCTGAAAGCTGGATGTCTCGCATGAGACTATATTGGACCTATTATTGAAAATGTTATTCTTTCTTCTGTAACGTTATCCTAAAAGATATGTACACATAAAGCAAATCTGATTTACCTTGTGTATGCCCTTAGAGGGACCAAATGAAAATGAAAATCTATGTGAATATGGTGGGGGAGAATATGCAATAAAAAGCAAAACAAATCCTTAAAAATTAGCTTTTGTTTTATGGGCTATTTGGAAAAATAGGAACTCCAAAATTTTTAATGATGTTATTACCTCCCATTCCATTAATCTTAGAAAGAACACTTAACGTGTTCTTGGAAACTATTGAGGGAGATCAAAACATTACCTATGCCCCAACTCACAAAATTTGGAAAACAAATTGTATGGTCAGCTCCAAAGATGACTACGTTAAAATAAATTTTGATGCATCACGTTATAGTGAAGGGAAGTGTTCTATGGCCAATATTGTATGTGGACTATCTTGGAAACGCACTTGCGATTAAAGCTTATAAACTTGACACCTGTTTCATAAATTAAGCTGAAGCTTGGGTCGCATGAAAAGCCCATGTTCATGCTACAAAATTTAGGGAGTCTCCAATTATGGTTGAAGGGGATTTATCTCTTGTCTCAACATAAAGGTGGTTATCTCCTGAAAGCTGAAAGGTATCATCTCTAGCTATTTACAGAAGAGAAATCTGATCATAGGAGGTCTCAAGTATGAATGTATTTATAGAGAGACAAATCAAGCGACAGACTGGCTTGCACATAAAACTCTTTTTTCTTCTTCGACTCTACATTTTAGTATTTATCTCTTATCTTTTCCATTTCTCTCATTTATTTTGCTGACTTTTGGGGACGTACTACCCCATTGCGTGTGAACACGCAGAAGAAGCGAAACCCTGTCCATGATGGGTCCAAGCCGGCCTATTTACTATTTGCACCCTTGTTGTTTTGATTTATCCGTTATATTGCATAGGTTTATTTACCAATAATTATTACTTTTCCAGGTTTTTTTTTTTTTTTTCATTTTGCAAATGAAGGTAATGTATGTAAGTTGATCCTTCCACTGTAAAATGTAGAATAATGAATTTTTTATTCCCAGACTATGAGTATCTCTGATGGAGGAGTAACGTGCCGTAGAATCCTGCCTTGATTCTAAAACGGTATGCTCCCTTATATTAAAAAGTAAAAACAAATGCTAATCTGCTAGGATCAGAGAGAGAGTGAGATAACGCTATTATTTTATTATATATGCCACCTGCGCAGTTGGTGCACATTGTTTACAGTCAGGATCTGCATAAAATAATTCCAAGGCACCTCACTAACTTTGTGCCATCTGACATCGATAATAAGAAGTACTCATGCGATAATTATTTAATTCATTTTTTATTTTTCATTAACTCTATACTTATACGAATTATTTGATTCATTTTTTATTTTTCATTAACTCTATACTTTGTTGCCCGTTATGTAGGGATTTTTTTTGGCTCATTCGTCCTCCCACAAATTGCTATTGGTCCAACTTGGATTAAGAGCCTCAAAAGGGAGGGTCACTTAAAGTTTAACGATGGTCTCTCACCCGTAAGTTTTGCCAGTGTTAGCATTGCCAGATTTTTCTTTAGAAGAATTCAAATCAAAACAAAATTTCATTCGTGATGAGAATTTCTCGTCTTCAAGCAAAACCTATTACCGAGCAATATTTTTGAGGATTTTCGAGCTCTCAAAAGTTCAAATACAACCTTTTCCAGTGATTCTTCATCTATTCTAAGAAGGAACAACCATCGATTTGACTTTCTTTCTCTTGTTCTATTCATCTGTCAAGATTTGACTTTCTTTCTCTTGTTCTAATGCTTTTTTTTTTACTACATCTCATTTAATCTTTGTGTAGTTAAATTGGTACAAGTGAAATATTTATGATTACAGTTCCATTAATTAATTTAATTAATTAATAAAAAATAAACATTTAAAGAAAAAGAACATACAATCATATGTGAATTCTACTTTTTTTCTAGTGTTTCAAACCGCTATTAACCCAGACGATTGGACCATTCGGCCTAGAAACCATCCAAGCAACTGATTTCACTGTACCCCAAACCCAGTCCTTTGCCAAAAATTATTGAATCGGTAAATGACCTGTTGGCCCAGGAAGCCAAATTGTCGACCATTACAATGGATTTTGACCATTATTTACTTTATTTTTTTTTTATATTTAAGTTGGAATAGGCTATCCATTCAAACTGGACAATTGAATCTTCGACCTAGAAAGCGGTGTCCAAAATGGTTATGGTTTCATGTTGGTTTTTAAAACCTTGTTTTTTTCTCTTGTTTACTTTTGTTTGATACATAGGTTTTATTTATTTTATCTTATATGTGTGTGACTATCTTATCAATTTTTGTTAAATTTTTTTTTCTTTTTACAACCTACACCATATAGTCTACAACTTCCATAACCATACATCTCCTCCCACATTATCTAAACAATTTTTATAAGAGAAAGGTTTTTAAAATCAGACTGAACGGGGAATGGTCTGACCGTCTGATCCAAATGGACAGCCTGCTCTAACAGAAAAAAAAATTGAAAACCCAAAAATGGCCAAAAACCATTCTCGGGTCGAATGGTTCGATGGTCTGACCACTCAAATCAGCAATTCACTGACCAAATCAACGATTTTTTTTTGCCAAAAAGCGATTTTAAGGTTAAACAGAATTAGTCAGGTGACCGTTTCCCAGTTTTTTTTTATCCGACCATCAGTTTTGAAAATATTGCATAAGAGGATGGTCAAAGAGATGATAAGAAAATTTCATCAAATGCTTTTAATATAAATCAATAAAAATTAAATATGGCCAAGAAAAATGTTAACGAAATAGGGCAAAGTATGAACTGAAATGGCAGAGATAAAAAATATGGAGAAGGAAACTAAAAAGAGATTAAAAGGAAATGCATCTCACCTGGGCATTTCTCTATTTATAGGTCAAGAGTTGCGGGTTTTGCTCGGAAATGGGATTGGGAACTTGTTGGAGATTGGGAAGTCACGAGGTGAAGTTATAACGGTGGGCAAAACTGACGGGTAAAGCCACCGTTAACTTTAAGTGGCCCTTCTTCCTTTTGAGTCTCTTAATCCAAATTGGCATAATAATTAACTTGAACCAGTAACAAATTGTGGGAGGAAGAATTCGTCATGGGCCAAGAAAAATCCGTTATTTACCACCCATCGAGAGTCCCATTGTTTTTCAAAAACTTTAATAATGTATTAGGCAGAAAACCATATAAATGTTCTCTTGTGTGTTTTTAGCTGATTTTAACTCATCAAAAACGGGATGCGTCTCAATCTCCCTTTTCTGGTTTGATATGACTCGATAGCTAGCTAGGGAATAACTAGGTTGGCCTCACAAACGTTGCCGAAAATAAAAACCCTGTTGGTATGTATATTAGCGGACTTTCGTCTATGATTTTTTTTTTTTTTTTTTCCAAAACCCAATAGAAATAGTAATTGTCTAGAGAAAAATAAAGGGTTGCAAATTGAAGTAAACCAGCCAAATCATCTGAGTGGTCCCGTGGTATGCAGGTCCAAACTTAATTAATAAATCTTCATATGGGCATGTGTCAGCAAAAAAAAAAAAAAGAAAACCTCATGGTAATAATAATAATATTTAACTTCTATCTCTGAGCACCGACAGTCTGGCACCTGAAGTAGTGAAGTGAAAGGGTTTGCCTGGTGCGCCAGTAATGTGTTCACCTCCTAACAAGTAACAACTAACTACCTCTACCACTTGCTTAATGCTTTATTAAGTAACAACTAACTGCCTTGAGGGTTACTCAATTCCATGCCTCAACTGGATCAGGATTACCATCGAGGGATTTGTTTCTTCTTTTTATCATCATCAAGGAATATTCAAAGTACCTAGAATTTGCTTGTTTTGATTTGTAAAATCTCTTTTTTTTAAAAGCTTTAAATGCATAGTCCAGGTGTGTGCAGTGCACAGGATCTGTTTCTCATATCTTTCCATCATTTCGTCACAACTAGTAACTAATTAATATTAATAGAGATCTATCTCATCTCATAAAATATCTTTTTCTTTAATTCACCTTATAATATTCCATTTGGCACATTTTTTTTGACTTTTTGACCCCTTTAATATTCCATATAAAACATCCCCCCAGCCTGCATCAGCCAATCACCAAACTAACTACAGATACCCATGGTTTTACAATGGTTACCCCTAAAACAAGCTACGGTAACACATGGTTATTTTTATTGGTACACGGTAAGCTGCCGGGAATTGGCATGGGCGCTTATTATATATATATAGATATATCCGGTGGCTATTGGTGAAGTCATTTCTTGCGTTCCAAGTTGATATTACTCATCATTAACGAATTTTTATATTAGACTACTATATATATTCTTTAATTTGCTTCTTTTGCCATTTATTCGATCAACTTTCGAAGCTTTCATGTGCATCATACCAGCAACACAATCACGATTCCAGACTTTTACCTCTCTTCAAACGTCAAAGGTTTGTCTCTCTCTCTCTGTTCGATCCCATATTTTCTTTTCCGTTTCCTCATGCTGTACATGTTTGATGAGAAATCCTTCTGAATTTGAAGCTGCAGAGAAACAATCATGGAAGAGGAAAGACTAGATCTGATCACCAGTTTACCCGACGAGATCCTGCGTCGTATCATTTGCTTTCTCCCCTTGGAATTGGCAGTAAGAACCAGTAAACTTTCTACCGGATGGAGGAACCTTTGGCTGCCACCCCAACCTAATGATCTGGCTATGACTGGTAATAATATGTCTGAGGAACAGGTAGCCAGAATCGTCACTAATTTCTTGGCGTCCTGGAAAGAGCTCGAGTTCTGGATGCAAAGTTTCCGAATGCCCCCGACTGGAGGCAACCCGCCGTCGCCCAATATTAAGACAGAGGATAGGCTGATCCTCTCAGCCATTATGGGGCCAGAGAAGGAACTCCGCCTCGACTTCTCTAACGGAGAAGCACAACATTTGCCAGCTGATTTCAGCTTGAATTTGGAGCTCATCAACTGTCACGGTCCCAGCCCCCAACCTACAACCACCACTGCTAAGACCTTCTATTCTCTCAAGACTCTCCACCTCAGATCGGCCAGCCATCTCACCGGAAGGTTGCTTCCCGCCCTGTTTTCCAATTGTCAGCTTCTTGAAAGCTTAAAGCTTGTAAAATGCCATGGATTACAGAGTCTGGACATTAACGCCAACAACCGACTTAAGAACCTGATAGTTGTCAACTGCCCCAACATGGTTACTCTTACTCTAAGTACACCCAACCTCCAATCCTTAAGATATCGGGGAGCGCTTCCGCGGTTTCACCTGAAGAACGTTTCTCGCTTGGTGGACGTGATGTTTGATTTCAAAGATGGTCCAGCCTATTACGACTTCAATTGCCAGGAGCTGTTATCTCTTCTAACAAATATAGCAACCGTCCAGACTCTTACTCTGTGCGACTGGCTTCTCGAGGTACGCTTTCCGTCTACCAATCATCTCCAATTTGTGCATTAATTATTAACAATATTACGCATGAAATGAAACTACTGATCGATGCATGATCTATCCTTCTCACTGGGTGTCTTGATTTGTTATTTCCCATTAATTATATTAGTGGCTGTGCGTGGCGGGAGTGGTTTTTCGATATCTAGACTTGCGATTCAACAATTTAAAGGAGTTATGGTGGATTGGCTCCTTGATTGACGGCCCCAAGCGGGATTCATTGGTTTGCTTCCTGGCTATCTGTCCTTCTCTCGAGAGGATATTTATAGATGTAAGCCTCTTAACTAAAACATGGATGCAAATTAATTAAGATTGATGGATCAGTACTAATATGTATATATACCTGTTTCGACAGTAATATGTTTCTGTTAACTAACTTTACAGGTTGATCAAAGGCGTGGATATATACCAACTCCCTTATTTTACCAATGGTGGCACGAACCCCACTTATGGATGGATTATGCATCTGTAAAGGCTGGCGCTTCGCCATTGGATCGTCTCAAAACAGTGAAGATGAGGGGCATTACAGACCAAGAGGATGAATTGCTGTTGGTGGATCTTTTACTTAAACAGGCAGCTTCCCTACAGTCGATGACTGTTACATCGCCTGAGAATGAGAATCAATCGTGGAGGGTGGTAAAGGTTCCGTGGAAGGGACAGTACTCAGAGGAACATCGTCATCGGAAACGGATAGCGATTCCATCTGCACAAGAGGAATATTATTTTGAATACATAGAAGAAGAAGAAGAAAGTAGCGATTCATGTCCACTACATAGCAAATTATATCTCTAGCTAGCTCCACCCTGGTCGGTCGACCTTTGCCACGTCTGATATGATGCATGTGTGTGGACAAGATATAATTGGGTAGTCACTTTTCAGACCGATTAAACTTTAGTTTTAACTCCAGTCCATTGGAACGTTGCAGAATAAAAAGACCTCCCAAAAGTGTTGTAAGTTTTTTGATCAATCAATCTATCGTTGATTGGATCATAAACTACATTAATTGTACAATTCCCTGTAATTAAATATCTTGTATATATCAAATTAATGTTAAAACCTTTTAAGAGTATCGGCTGTTTAATTTTCGATATGAAATAAGAGTATCACTTACTCGGCTAATTGATACCCATCTCCTCTTTCCTAGTGGCTAATGACTTTTTCACGTAAGGCTCAGTTTGAAAAGTGTTCAAATACAAATATATGTACCGTGCAAATACATACAAAATAATGCAAAATCTACAGATTTGCACTCTACATATTTGTATTTGTACTCTTTCCAAACTTAGCCTAAGGAAAGGTGCCCTTGAACCAAACCCGAGTTGGCCGGTTTTTCTTTACTACCGGTCGGTTTCGGGTTGCAAAGATAAACAAACCGATAATTTGGTTCGGTTTTAGTCCAAAACTGAACTAAACCGAACCAAACCGAGTTATGTAAAAAATATATATTCTGAAAAAATATCTATTCAATATAGTTATTTTAGTTTTAAATAATAAATATATATTCTGAAATATATCAGATATATATTTCCAGAAATTAAAATATATATATTTTGATATATTTGTATATATGTTTTGGTTTTAAATATATATTTCCAGAAAATATATTTTGAAATATTATATATAATATTAGCCCTTTGACTTCATGTGCATTGTGCAAGCTTGGAGTTGGTTGAAACCCGAACCAACCCAAACCGACTTAAACCAACCAGGTCGGTTTTACTTAATAGAGAGTCGGTTTCGGTTTGATCTATAGGTAACCCGACCAGGTCGGATAGGTTGAAAAAACACTAGTAAACCGACCCAACCTGACCCATAAACAGTCCTAATGGTCTGTTCATTTGCTATCTAAAGGTATAATAATTACATTAAGAGGTATATTGGTATTGGTAAATTTTTCTTTCCTCTGAACTCTGAATGTTGTTCTGATTTCTGAATTCTACGAATTATCAAATATCCATTTTTACCCCATATATAAGAGTTTTTGTTTGTCTTTTTGAGAGTATTATTAGAAAACAAAAAGTTGTATGATTGTGTTTTAAGAACTAAGAGATAAGATGAAACAAACAACCAATTTTCTCTTAAAATCAAAATATTCCTCTTAAAAGGTAAGAGTTAAGAGGAAACATGCATGCCCTTAGTGAAATATAAAGATATCTATTAGGAATACACCATCCAACATGTATAGCATTTGAAGTGTAACAAAGAATTTAGGTTTCAGGGTTTAAATATAAAAATCAAGGGATGATGGGATGTATATCCTCAAATATTGGGGAAAGAGGCAAGCATTGCTTAAGTTGAATGAAAGGAGTTTGTTTATAAGAAAAGAGAGATAGAGAAGTTAGACTTACAGGCTTTTGTAATACCAAAGATAAAAGGTAAATTAAAGACTGCCACCCTAAACTTAGGGGCTGCTGACAGTTAAGCCCTTTGGATTGGATTACTTATCTAACAAACTCTCTAAAATGAACTATGTTTCTTCTTTGGCAAGTGGCAAGGGTTTATTTGGAAACACAATGACATATTTCATCATTTTATGGCTTTTTTCTCCATGTCCATCGAATCTCATATGGGGAACTTCGTAATTTCACATTCACCGCTGAACCCATTATTTATTAAGCAGCTGTTTGGCATTGTTGCTGTTTCCTGGAGCAATGGTGCCACATCAGTGCCACAAGAAAAAACGGTGCCTCAGGAAATGGGCATTTGGTTGGAACTGTTTTTTCATAAAAACCGTGCTCCAAGCAATGCCTCGGAAATTGGGAAGCTATGGCTTGGAGCAATACTAAATTAGGCGTTTTCTAGAATTGCAGCTCATTGCTGTCAACATGGCAGTGATATGGCACTGGATAATGGGTACCGGTGTTGAAAACGTTTCCTGGAACATTGATACCAAACAGAAAAAGTTGTTGTTGCTCCAATAAAGGTCCTACCTAGCAGCAACGATTTCAAACAAAAATAGAGGCAAACGGTGCTTCCAACCGCACATCAGCAGCATCTACAGTATCGATGCCAGACATATACTAACAGAATAAGGGGCAAAGTGCTGAAATCCAGAAATTCAGGGGGTTTTTTGTCGCAAAACAAAGTTCGAGGGATTAAGTATCACAACGTCTTTTAAGTACAGGGTGATAATCTATAGGAAATTTCTAATTTTCTCCTCAGGCAATAACCAAACAACTCGAACAGTCGGACTTTGTAGTAAGAGTGCGGCGGCGAAGACATGGCCTTGGCGGCTTCCATTTCCTTATCTGTCTCCTCGCACTCTCGCCGTTCTCTTGTATCTGTTAAACCATTTCGATCTTCTATCCAACCTACGATCTTTAAATCAGGCGGCACTCTTCGGAACCCTACATTTCGCATTTCGGCCTCTTCGATGAGCATCGAAACTCCCGAGAAGATCTCTCAAAATTCTTTCTTTGATCGAAAAGAGAGCGGATTTCTCCATTTCGTCAAGTACCATGGCCTTGGAAACGATTTTATCATGGTTTGTATCCCAGTTTCTTCTACTTCTTTATGATTGTTATCTATTTGTTCATCCTTTTCTTTTCTTTCCTTTTTCCCTTGTAATATTAAGTTTTTCTTGTGAACACGAGGTTGAATAGGTTGACAACCGAGATTCTTTGGAGCCTAGAGTTACTCCTGATAAAGCGGTGAAGCTCTGCGATCGAAATTTTGGTATTGGTGCCGACGGAGTAATATTTGCAATGCCTGGAATTAACGGAACTGATTATTCCATGAGGATTTTCAATTCCGATGGTAGTGAACCCGAGGTATCTAAATTATATAAAATGCATGATTATTTTTATTCTAGTATTACTGAATTTTCTCCAATTGAATCACTCTAAGGTTGAACCAGTGGTCGACTGTTTGACACTAGTCAAGACACTAGTAAATATAATATTAACTCAAACTACTAATAAGTTGAGTACATAGTTACTTAAAAACTCAGTTGCTTCCGGATGTGTTTTTTTTTTCGTCATCCAGATAAAAGAGAATGCGTTTATGAATAGGGAATCTAAAGTATCAACTTACCACCTCACAAAGTGAGAAGGAGAGATATAATATAACCCCAATGCTGAGGCAATATGAAAACATAAACTGATCAGATCCTGATCTTGATTGCCAATGAGAGCATGGAGAACTTAAGGAAGAGTAGGAAGAAGGGAATGGTTTGTAAGCTGGATTTGGAAAAGGCTTATGACTTGGTGGAGTGGTCATTCTTAATGAAAGCTATGTCCAATTTCGGGTTTGGGACTATATGGTGTAAATGGATCTTGGGGTGTGTTTGGAACGTTAATTATTCTATGCTAGTGAATGGGACAGTGGTGGGTTTTTTTCCAGTTGTTAGGAGAATAAGACAGGGTGACCCCCTTTCTCCTTTCCTGTTCACTATGGTTGCTGATGTTCTGGGGAGGTTGATTCACAGAGCAGATTCTAGGGGACTTGTTAGAGGTTGGAGAATAGGGAGGGAGGATATTCCCCTTACCCACTTACAGTTTGCAGATGATACCATCCTGTTTTGTGAAGGTGGGAACCTGAGTAATATCAAGAATTTGAAGTTGGCAATACAACTATTTGAACAAATGTCCAACTTAAAGGTGAATTTTGAACAAAACCGTGTTGTGGGTGTGAACTTGGAGGAGGGTGAGATTAGGGAAAGTGTAGAAATTCTGGGTTGTGAAGTCTCAAGTTGGCTATTGAATTATCTAGGGATGCCTTTGGGTGATAACCCAAAGAAGGAGAGTTTTTGGAATCCGGTGGTGGAAAGATTCGAAAAGAGACTTGCCTCTTGGAAGAAGAATTATCTCTCCCTTGGCGGGAGGATTACACTGATTAAGGCTACTCTAGCTAATTTGCCCATTTACTTCCTCTCAGTGTTCAAAATTCCTACAAGGGTATCTAATAGGTTGGAGAAGATGATGAGAGATTTCCTTTGGGAGCCGGGAGAAGATAAAAGGGACCATAGGGTGAGTTGGGAGGTAGTGACCAGAAGTAAAAACCTTGATGGCTTGGGGATTGGGAACATTAGGAAAAGGAATATGGCTCTTTTGGGGAAATGGTTATGGAGGCCCCCAATAGAAAATGAGAGACTATGGGCTAGAATAGTGGTGAGCATACATGGGATGAAGCAAAATGGATGCAGGGATCCGAGCAAGGACCACAAGTATGCCACCGTGGAAAGCCATTCACGATTTGCTTCCTTCTATCACCCCTCTCATCAGGTATGATCTGAACTCAGGTACTTCCATAAAATTCTGGGAACAAACTTGGGTGGGGAATGCCCCTTTTAAGGATTTGTTTCCTTCTGTGTACGCCCTCTCTGATTTAAAAAATGAGCCAGTGTCTTCCTTTATTACCCCTTTGCCTTCCTCTTCTAGGTTTGGTTGGAATTTGGGTTTGAGAAGAGCTGTGAGAGATACCGACTTGGGCTGTATCTCGAGCCTCCTAGGCATCCTTGATAATGTTTTCTTGGACCCTACTAAGTTGGATTCTATAATTTGGACCCCCACTCCCACTGGCTCATTTTCTTGTGCCTCTTTTTTCAAAGTCTTAAGTCAGCCCCTAGTCCTGTTGGCCCTCCCTTCCCGGTTAAGGAGGTTTGGTGCAGACCTATTCCCCCTAGAGTTGGCAGTTTTTGTTGGGAAGCCTATCTGGAAAGAATCAACACTGGTGATCTGCTCCAAAAGAAAAGACCCAAGACTTGTTTATCCCCTTACTGGTGTGTTCTTTGTAAAGCGGAGGGGGAGATTGGTTTTCACCTATTGGTGATTTGCTAGTTTGCTAAGTCCGTTTGGGGGTGGGCTCTTTCCCTTTTTGGGTGTAGTTGGAATCCTCTTTCAAATTTGCAAAGCTTCTTTTCCCCTTCTTTCTTTAGGTGCTGAAGGAAAAGGGGAAGGACCATGTGGAGATGTTTGAGGGCTGCTGTTTGTTGGGCCCTATGGGAGGAAAGGAATTCCAGAATCTTTTCTGACGTAGGAAAAAGTAATGAAGAATTGAGAGATTTGATTCACATAAGGGTTGTTCAGTGGCTAAATTCGTCCGAGCTGTTTACAGATTTCACAGTGGTTGATTTGTTGAGGAAGTGGGGTGAGATTGCTAACTGCACCCAGACCAAAGCAATCTTGTGTGTGTCTTGGACTCCCCCACTGGCTGGCTTCTTAAAACTGAACTTTGATGGTAGTAGTCGGGGGAATCTTGGAGCGGGGATTGGAGGTGTGTTTAGGGATGAGAATGGGCTTGTCTCAGCCATGTTCTTTGGCCCAATTGGAGTGGGTGACTCTCTCAGAGCTGAATTTTTTGTAGTTTTGGAAGGAGTTCAAAGAGCCAAGGAAATGAATATAAGAAAACTCATCATTGAAGGGGATTCAGAGGTGGTGGTAGGGTGGCTGAATAAAGAAAACAACAATTTATGGATGTACAGTAATGAGAGGAAGTTTAGGTGGCTGGTTCAAGAGATGGAAGTTAAGGTCAGCTGGGTGAATAGGTCAGCTAACTCCTTTGCAGATGGGTTAGCTAAGCATGGAGTCGAGAGGGAGTCAATGTTTTGGGCACAAGTGTAATTTTTTCCTTTTTGTTCCAGGAGTGTTTAGCTCCTTTTGGAAGATAAGAAAGTTTATCTTCCTCTCTGTATTTCTTTTGTGATTAAGTAATGAAATGTTATTATTGATCAAAAAAAAAAATCTGAAAACATAAACTACATTACCAAAAAAAATATAAATCAATACAATCCGGGGATGCATACAATTATTTCCATTGTGGAGCTTGAAACACTGCCATTTCTTTTCTACTAACTTTCTAAGGCCAGCAGTGTAGAGAAAATAACATCTATTTGATTCACTACTACCAACAATCTTATCCTGTTGAAAAAACCTTTTTTTTTTTTTTTTTTAACTTAGATAAGCTTGATTGAAATTACCTTTCTGCTTGCTGCTTCCATGGTTACCTACTGGTAGAAAATGTCGAGAAAGAACAATAACAACAATAACCTTCCCTGTTGATAAGACGTGTGGTAATCGAGTGCGACTTTAGGATCTTCCATTTGCTTCTTCTTTGGTTACCTACTGGTGGTAAATGATCAGAAAAAACAATAACAATAATAACCTTCCATGTTGGTAAGATGTGTGGTAATTGAGTATGATGGATCTTACAATCACAATAATGTGCTGTCTGTATTAAAATAACTTTTTATACATATTTATTTAATCTAATTTATAATTGCGTGCCTGATTGATTCTTCATACATTTTCTTCCATTAAATTTCTCAACTGACTCAGATGTGTGGCAATGGAGTGCGATGTTTTGCCCGGTTCATTGCTGAGCTTGATAATTTGCAAGGAAGGCGAAGGTATTGTTACTATTCTTTTTCAAGTCCCTCTATCTCTTTTGTTAGATCTGGTAACTAATGTAGTCTTTATTCTTTACTAGACGTTTGTGTACAAAGCCATTGTTTAAGTTGTTCCACTTGCTGCTCCCATGGTTAGCTACTGGTAGTAAATGATGAGAAGAAACAATAACAATTTCCCTGTTGATAAGATAGCTTATCTCCTTTCTTTTCCCCACAACCAACAACATTTATGTTAATCTGAATTCTGAATATGCAATGGTTTACTAGACTTAGGAGCATATAGATTGGAATTTCGCTAGAATTTTGAAAATTTAAACTTTTTATACTTTAAGCTTCCAATTTCATTCTTGCAATGTTCTACCAGAAAAAAAATCTTGCAATAGCAACATACATGCATTCATTTTCTTCTTCTGTAAGGGCTACTTATTGCAAAAAAGGAACATGAAATGTTGGACTATTCATATTGATTAGTGTTAGCCACAGAACCAATTAATGTGAGTAAACCTTTTATTTAGCTACAAGAATAGTGTGGCTATCTGAAAAATGGAAGTTGAACCATGCATAGGATGGAATATTTTCTATAAAAGGGAAGATTAGTCAAGGTGAGCTTTGAAATAGTTGCATTTTGCATGATTGCATCATATGGAAGACACATCTATTCTATTGGTTACAAGACTGGTAGCAATACTTTGACATGTTTTGTTCCTGTATAGAAAAGTAAAATATTCATAACTATAATGCATAGATACTCCTTGGTCTTTTATTCATTTTCATCTTCTCACCAAGATTTGAAATTTTGTATAGAAATTTCAATACTTCAAACATGGGAAACTTAATGGACATTTTCTAAGTGGTGCATAATTTATAGTTTAGGGGGTGAACCAGATGATGGAGGAATTTATGCTTTGATGGAACTACAGGAAATGTTGGCATAGACATAGATATAATTGATACTTAGAAAGCGAAATGTTATAAAAATATCATATATAATAAGTAACAAATATGACAAGTTTAATGAGCAAATGTACTGATCATGTAGGACTCATTGACATCCATAACAAGAGTTTTGGCTACAGTTGAAATATGTCTTACTATAGTCGAAAAAGGTAGTCGTAATGTTAGTTTCAACAATTTGTCTCAAAATTTAGATAAATCAAAGTTAAAATATATTGCCAGAGATTTGTTTTAATTATGCCTCTTTTCCTTCCTTCCTGCTTGCATAGTAGATTAGGCTGTCTTTGGTTCATTAGAGAATAAATGTGAAAGGGAAAGTTGTAAGAAATTTCATGAAATTCCTCAAATACTTCCCTACAATTTTTCCTTTCATACTAATTTTTAAGAAACCAACCAAACATGGTCTTATGAAGTGTTTTTTTTTTCACTCATATTCACATTTAATGAACTCATTTGATTTTGTTGTTGATAATTTGTAATATATATCATTGAAATTAAAAGGGAACTTTCACATATCAGCAAATATGGAGAAAATTGCAAATCATGTTCTCTACTGTATGCTTCCATGGTTTGCATCTCTATCTATAAGTTAATTAGATTCTCTACAAATCTCCTGGTACACTCAGAACTCAAAACCCATGAACAATGGTTTATATATATTGAACTGGTACAATATTGTATTGTATTATAACATCCTGATAAGGAACACAACTCTTCTAGGTAAGTGGCTTTGGAGGTTTCCCTTTGAGAGTGATAGACTATGGCAAAAAGTGATTGAGAGCATTCATGGGGTGGATGGAAATGGCTGGGATGCAAAAATTTCCCTCCACAGTTCTTTGGCTTCTCCTTGGAAAGCAATTCATGAAATCTACCCTACTTTCCTCAATTCCATCTGGTTTGATGTGGGACAAGGTAGCAAACCCCACTTAAAGACCAATTTCCTGATCTCTTTGCGCTAACAAACCTCAAGGGGGAAGCTTGGGAACACCATGTCCAAATAGTGTCAATTGGAACTTGGGCTTCAGAAGGGGACTAAGGGAAAATGAGTGTGAGTCTTTAATCCTATTGCTGGACCTTCTAGGGCAAATCCACTTGGACCCTTCGTTGGAAGATTCTAGAATCTGGGTAGGCTCTCTAGATGGTCTCTTTTCTTACTCTTCTTTCTCCAGAGTACTTGCTTCCCCTAACCCCTAGATGGGGATTTCCTTGTGAAAGAAATTTGGTGCAAGCCTATTCCCTCGAAGATTTAAGCCTTCTGCTGGGAAATATTCCTTGGTAAGGTAAACACTTGTGATATGCTGCAGAGAAGAAGGCCATACATTTGCCTTTCTCCTCGTGTGTTCTTTGTGTAAGGAAAGTTGTGAGACCCTATCTCATTTAATGATATCCTGTTCTTTTGTGCATTTGGGAATTCTTTTGTACTCTCTTTGGCTGCAGGTATGCTCCCCCTCAAGATGTGGCAGGACTTTTCAATTGTGACTTCTTGAGACAATGAAAGAAGAGAGGGATGGTAATGTGGAAAGCAACAAAGGCAGCAATTTGTTGGGTGGTATGGGAAGAGAGGAATAACATGTTTTTCTTGGAAAGAAAGCAGAACAGTAGAGGAAGTGATTGATAGCATCAAGGTGAAGTAGCTCATTGGGTAAAATCCTTGGATAACTTTCAAGTCTTCTCAGTCACAGGCATTCTAAGAACCTAGTCCAAAGTAGCACAATCATCGAGAGTAAGAGATAAAGTAAGGCTGGAGTGGAAACCACCAAAAGGCAATAAAGTTAAATTGAATTTTGATGGGATCTCCTTTGGAAATTCGGGCCTTTCAGGAGGAGTATTTAGAAATTCTGAAAGAAGGATATTGGGTATGTTCTGAGGACCGATTGGCACTGGAAATTCACTGAAGGCTGAACTTTTGGCATTACTACAAGGTTTAAAGCTAGCCAAATAGTTAGGATACAGACCTGTTGAGGTGGAAGGGGACTCAATAGTATTTTCCTGGGCAGCAAACAACAGCCATACCCCGTGGACGTTTAAACATGCAATTAGGTTAGTGGAGAAGATCGCTAAGGAGGTTGAGGCTGAATTTAAATGGGTCCAAAGGAGTGCAAATGGGCTAGCTGATTGTTTAGCAAAACAAGGGGCATTGAGACAGCAATTATTTTGGGCTACACTGTAATGAGGGTTAGAATAGAGTGATTAAAGGGATCAATAGTCCCATCACCAAGTTGTATAAACTGTTTACAATCTGAAATTTAAATAAAATATATCTTTACTGATCAAAAAACATATTGTATTGTATTATATTATCCAAAGATGTTTTCTAATGTAGGCATGCAAGCAAGGGAAGAATCTATGAGAAAGGAAATAAGTTTCCTCCCAATTCTCCATTCAATGGCGATTTCATAACTTTTGGATCATTTGTATTTTGGTTTTCTTTTACTTTTTATATTTATTTTCTAGTTTGTTTATTGCAGTAGGTGACAAAATGAGAGAAAATAGACTAAGATGGTTTAGTCACATGCATAGAAGACCATCAACAGCACCCATAAGAAGTGATCAATTGCAAGTTGAAGGGGCTAGAAGAGCTAGGGGTAGACCAAAAAGGACTTGGGTCAAACTGTCAAAGTAGTAAGAAATGACTTAAGTTCCCATAATTTAACAATGGATATGGCATTAAATAAAACGGAATGGCGAAACAGGATTCATAAAGCCAACCCCATATAGTTGGGATAAGGCTTGGGTGATGATGATGATGATTTTCTAGTTTCTTTGTGTCTTAGGAATACAGTTAGTCATGTTAAAGGGTCAATTTAGTTTATAGTCTTATTAGATAGTTTTTGAAAAGTTTGAGAACTTGAAGATACAATCATGTCATTTTTCTTTTGTCCTGTTTTTCAGGGACTAAACTTGTCAGTTGCATGATTTTGGTGCCATCAGATAGGTAATTGAGTTATCTATCCAATGAGACCAAGATTTTGTAAATTGGGTATGATCTGAATGAGTCATGGGATGTCAGTCATTGGCGGGATTTGGGTATTTCTATTTCTTTGGGTCACCATTGGAATGATTTTGGGTTTGTTTAGTTGTAGTAGGATGAGGAAAATGATATTAAAGTTATTCCAAGAGTTGGAGTCTTTATTTGATCCCTATTTCTTACTTATTGGGTCACCTTAGTTTTAAAGTAGTTAGAATCTATGCTACCAGCTACCTAGATACCTGTGCATGTTTGGTGTACTGGTATCATGCTTGATACTTCATATATAGATGTACACTATGGCATTGACACTTTTAAAATCTGTGAAGTGGTATGTTTTACTACAAAAAATATATGCACATATTAGAAATTTAATTAAAATTGGCAAGACATAAGTCTTGAGAAATGTCATTTAGCTTAAAACAATGTTTTAAAAGGCGTGGGAGGCATAGAGGCACTCCCAAAATGCCTTGAGGCGTATGCTAGAGGCGCTGAACCTCTTAGAAGTACACCTCAGGTGCAAGAGGCATATGCCTCATGCGCTTTTTTCATGAGGCGTACGCCTCATGCACATCTTATATAAAAAGATAGAAAAAAAAAGAAAAAAGAAAAAAAGGAAAGGAAAGGAAAAGAAAGGGAAGGGAAAGGAAAAGAAAGAGAAGAAAAAAAAAAGAAAAGGAAAGAAAAGAAAAGGGAAGGGAAGGGAAGAAAAGATAAGGGGAAAGAAAGTGGTTTGCCCCCTACCCCTCCGCTTCGACAAGACCCCCTCTTTCAACCAATGTTATGCATCTTTATCCTTCTTAATATAAAAGATTTTTGTTAAAAATAAAGAAAAAATGAGATCCCCCCTTCCTCTTCATCCTCCTCCTAACCCCCTCCTCTTAAGGAGGCTTACGCCTCCTTGTGTTCGGGAGGCTTACGCCTCTTGTGTTCTGAACTACGCCTCACACCTCTAGGTAGTGGAACGCCTTGCGTCACGCCTCCGCATTTTAAAGCATTGGTTAAAAAACTAGATATAAACACATGATGTAAGCATATTACATGAGACTCCCATATCTGTATCCATGTCCATGCTTATATCTGTATTTGAGCATCATAGCAATGCTTTAAAAACTGACCCGAAAGCTGATAAGCTATACAACCATATCTAACTCTAGAACTTAATGAACTTTGATGAGGGTTGATTTGGCCTGACCTACTAAACAGTGGACACATGAATGCGACCTGTTGACTAGACTATGACTCAGCATTTCTTGCCCCTTCAATGGGCTAGGTTACCTCGGGTGTCTCGGGCATCTCGACAAAGACTGAGGTCCGAGTAGCTCGGGATGGCCCAACCTACCGAGGTGACATCTAGTGGACTCTAGAAGCAAGCCAGCTGTCTCTGAGCCCTTCGGGATCACGTTGCACGAATGTAGGTCTTATCCTCATCCCGCCCGGACCGGGCGGACTCGGTAAGCCTTATCGGCTGGCACGAAGTCCTCTTCCTGGTGTGGAACGAACTCCTAACAGTGTGGGCCGAGGATCTTGGAGGTGTTTCGTGAGACCCACGACAACTCAACTATATAAGGGCACCTACCCTCATAGCACAAGGTACGCACGATTCATTGCATTCTAGCTCTCTTACTCTCAGATCTTCAGCTCGCACCAAGAGATCTCTGATATTCTCTTCCTTGCAGTTTGACCGGCTAGCTAAGCAACCGAAGTCCGAGCTGCCATCCAGCTAGGAGCAACCAGATCGCGCACCATCAGACTTCAGTTAATTAAGGATGGTTAAATATTAAGTCTACAAAGGCTGAATTTGAACCTTGCTTCTATGTCGCAGTTAAGTTTGTGATCAATATGGAGTCAATATGTTTATCACCCTTTTCCACATGGCAAGTTCTGGGCCTCTTTTGCATTTCACAAAAGGAGTCACCTCTCACCCATTTTACTTAAAAAATCAAAGAAAAGAAAAGTATATGATTCTTAAGGAGAAGGACCAGAATGTGTAACAGATAGTTCCTGGATTACCTTTCTGTGTGGCAGAAATTCATTGTTACTGCATGGTTAAAAGTTTGCATGACATAATAGAATACCTCTTGACCTCAAGGTTCACATGATTCTGCAGGCATTCTTTTGTTTCAAATTGATATTATTGTGCATATTAGGTGTTTATAAGAAGGATTACAGATGTTTTACTTTAATTTCTCTATATCATGGTTCATATTGCTTAAAACATGTATATTGGCTAATCTATGATAGTAGATAAAATATTATAATCAATGGCTGAAAGTATGAAGAATAGTTATTTCATTGTTTTGAGGGTGGGCCTTGGTGCAACTGTTGGGTTGCTCCATTGCAACCTGGGTTGCCAGGGTTCAAATCTTGGAAACAACCTCTCTGTATATGCACTGGCTTTGATGTTTTCCACTTATCATTTGTCTGTCCTTTGCAGTTTTACTGTCCACACTGGTGCTGGCCTGATTGTTCCTGAAATCCAAGATAATGGGAAGGTACACATATATTTTTTAAGTGTGAAGTATGATGTAATATATTAATGATCTGAGACTATACATTTTTTTTTTCAGTTGGGTAGGCATATATTTTTGACAGGGATGCAAGTCAAGGCAGGTTGGCCAGGTTTAAGGTCAACCCAGGCCCAGCACTGAAATTTTACATATTTGGGTTAGGCTCAAGCCAGGTCTGGGCTCAGGTTGATCAATCAGCCCGTATTGAAATTTGACATACATGCATGTGTATATGCACGTATATATGCATAAATAAATAAATTATGTCCTGCCCGAAAAATAAGAAAGCACAAAGTTTTGGGCCCAGGCCCAGCGTGATGACCAAAAATCCAAGCCCAGCCCATGTAGAATTGCAGGTTGGTTCATTCTAGGCTTGGGTTGGCCCACTCAAGTTGCATCCTTAATTTTTGTTTTTTTTTTCTTTTTTTACGTTATAGGTTTTATTTATCTTATTCAAGTGCTTCTGGAAACCTTTCCTTGTAGTTAACTGTGGTTCTGGTACATGAATATGGTGGAGCTAATGGGGATTTTTTGGAAGATTAACTGTCATAACAAAAGTGACAATTAGGATAATTATCAAAAGAAGTGACAATTAGGATCAACAACTTCAACACAATGTTATAAAAGTGTTGGCTAGTTGTCCAACTAATTAGTTAAGGGCCATACTGACTGCATCACTAACTAGTCAATCGATACCTCTTATGTGGTCATCTTGGATGATGAAGCATTGTCTTGGTCAACTAATGACTAGTTGACCTTTTAAAGATTTATTTAGAATACCATCGTATATGCTTATATTTTGTTATATGCATGCCTAGTTGCCTCTAAACATTTATGACTGCAAAGGGTTGCGTGACGGTATGTTTAATAGAAATAGAGCATAACATAAAAGAAAAATAGTGGAGGATGGGTTTTTTCAGATCTTCCAATTAGCAGTATGTTGATATGGATTTGCAACAGACAAGGGGGCAGACAGCAGTTGAAATAGTCAAAAGGTGCACTCTTTCTTTGAAAAATAAAGCCCATAACTCCTTATCTCAATGTATACAGTCTTATATATGAGATTGCATTAATATCTTTAGAATATATCTTTCTTTTGCTTTAACTAGTCAATGCCTAAATGCCATCAAGTTATTGCATCTACCAGGGAGGCCAAAAAAATCTAGTCATCACTTCACTGCATTGACCTCACTGCTTCAACCATACTTGCAAAAATTCTAGAAGAAAAGACTAAATTCTAATTGTTTTCCCAATATACACACATGGAGTGGAAGAATTCCAAACTCCCATTGCAAAAAGAAGGAAAGGGTCATAACTGGGGGCAGATCAAGTGCTGTTTAAGTTAATGCTAATCCCTTGAGTTCAGATGAATGGTATGTGTTGTGCAGGGTAGCATTTTGGAATGAGTTTTTAGGTAATTTGGGTGTTTGAGTGGCATTGTAGGTCAGTAGGTGTTTGGGGACTATCTCCATGGGGATTTTCTGCTAGTAGGCATCCTTTTTTTCAGGACTTTTGGGTATAATTATCTGGGTTCTCTTTGTAGTTGGATATCTGAGTTGAGCAGACTTTTTATGGGGGTTGGGCATGGGGAGGTTTTTAGTTTTTTCTCCTGATTTTTAATATATATATATATATATGTATGTATAGTTCCTGTTGCCAATTCTATGAATTTTTAAACAAATGTCCTAATTATTAACTGATTTGACTTGAAAATTGCCTATCTATTCTTCCAACAAAGAACATTGAGGGTGACTCGAAGCTTGTAGTTTAGTGGCTCCAAGGAGAAGAGGAGGAGGGATGGTGGTCCTATTATCTTTGAAAAAAAGAAAAGTATTGAGACTGCTTCAGGGGATGGAGGTGAACTTCAAACGGGTGAGAAGGGATGCCAATGTACTTGCTGACACTCTTGCTAAACAAGGGGTGGGAAATGATAGTTTGTTGTGGGCTGTTTTGTAAAAGCTTCTTTCTTTTGGGTGGGCTAAGAGAGTTAATTTCTCCCTTGTTGTTCTTGTACCCATCCCCTTCTTGATTAATGAAATTGGTTGTGTTATTGATAAAAAAAATCTATTCTTCCAACAAATGCCAAGTAAATTTCTATTTTACTTTGACATGGCAAAATGCCAACTAAACCCCATGTGTATCAAGTAAAATGCCTTCATTTTGCCAATGACGTCAGATTACTCTGTCAACATGCACAAATGTACCATTTATTGCTTGTTAAGGGTCAAAGTGATTAAGTCGCCATTAATTTTCTTGGCAAAGTAAACTGAAAGAAATTGGCTGTTGGGTTGATTCTTCTGTAGCATTTTATAGCTAAATAAAAAATGATACTAGCCATCTTCCATAATGAGGAGTTATTTATCTGTTTGTTTTTCTGTGGAATTGGTTGGGTTAATTCAAGCCATTGTAGAATTGTGTCTATGTTCTTATCAGCCATTTTTTTTTCTTATCAGCAAATGTTGTTGTAATTGGTGATGCTTTTGGCATTTTGGTTCTTTGATCTTCTGAAATTGATGTGATGCCTTTGAATTTTCTGTTATTGATCCCCCAAAAAAAAATGATGTGATGCCTTGGAGAATATGCTACCTTTTCTTTATGAAAATTCCTTCATAGTCCCAAGAAGAAGTTGATATTATCACATTAGCTAGTGGCGTTATGTACTTACAGTAAATTCATTAACTGCATTTTCAGGTGAGAGTTGATATGGGTCAACCCATACTCACGGCATCAGATATTCCAACCAATTTACCAGCAAATAAGGATCAAGCTGTTGTGAGATCAGAACTGGAGGTTGATGGTGTAACCTGGAATGTGACATGTGTTAGCATGGGAAATCCTCATTGTGTAACTTTTGGTACAAAGCAAAACAAAGTATGTTTATTTTTTATTTTTTGAAAAGACTAGGATTAGTTAGTATTTATTGTTCTTATTCACAATAGGCTTCTTTTTTTCCATGTTGTGTTCACTTTCATGTTAGGCAATCATTTCTATGTTCTACTTTTCTTTTGCTCTATCAAAAACAACAGTCTTATTTGCATGTGTTGGTATGGGAAACCCTCATTGTGTGTACAAAGCAAAATAAGCCCCTTCGTATGTTAGTATTTTTGTTCGCATTCCCAATAAGTCCCTTTACCCCAAATTGTTTTCATTTCATGTTAAGCAGTCATTTCCGTATTGTTCTTCTTTTGCTCTACAAAAAACAACAGTCTTATTTGCCTGTTTTAGCAGGTGAAATCCTCATTGTTTAATTTTTGGTACAAAGCAAAACAAAGTTTTTTTTTTTGAATCAGACTAGGATTACTTGGCATTTATCGTTCGCATGCAAAGCTTCTTTTTTCCCCATATTGTGTTTAGTTCATGTTAGGCAGTCATTTCCATATTCTTCTCCTTTTCTTTTGCTCTATCAAAAACAACAATCTTATTCAAAGTGAAAGATGCGCAAGAAGAAAATTCATGGACTTTTTTGTAGGTTTCCTAATTTTGTGGTACTTTTTTTTTTTATCAGCAACCACAAAGAATAGATTTATTAAATTAAAGGAAGAAGATACAACAAGGAGGTGTGAAGAATAAGCATGCCCAATACTAGGCAAACCCCCCAACCTATATTACAACTGAGCCCAATACATTAACTGTCTTTGAATCCCTTGCTTGGCTAAGTTGTCTGCCTAGCTGTTTGCAGACGTTGCTTGGCAAAGGAAGCTTTTAGGGAGGTGGAAGAAGATCTTTGTTTATTTGTGTTCACATTTATTTATTTTACTTGTTTTATTTGTGTTCTATTTTTTTTCCTTGTTTTATTAGGTTGCTTGGATAGCAAAAAAGTTCATTGTTTTACAATTGTTGAGGTATTAATTTTTCCATATGTTTTACCTTGTATTGTTAACAGACTTTACAGGTTGATGACTTAAATTTGGCAGAGCTAGGCCCAAAATTTGAGCATCACATAATGTTCCCTGCCCGAACTAACACAGGTTAGTTAGTATCTTTCTTGGAGCATTTGCAGTTATGCTGATGTTTGTTTAATAAACTAAATAATATTTCTAGTCGCCAAATTTTAGAGAGAATTTTGAAGATAACTTGGATTCTTAAATATTTTTTATTTGCCACTAGCCCTTCTAGGGTATGTGCTGGTGTAAATGTATATTATATATACATATGTACATGACATAAATAAACAAATGTATATAGGGGTAAACATTATAAAAGGTCAGGTGAGCTCGGTCTGGGCTTAAAGCTACCTGAGGCCTCAACCCAAGCCCAATCTGTGTTTAGGTCAGGTCAGAGTTTTCAGACCTAGGCCCAGCTTGGAGCCTGAAAGTCCAAGCCGAACCTGTGCTAAAGTTCAGGTTGGGCAGCCAAGTTGTAGTCCTACTTAAATGTCAGGACTAGCTCTAAAATAGATGGTAGAGCCTGTAAAAAAATATCTAAATCTATCAAACAATAGAAAAATGACTTTACATTAACTTTCAGAATCTTCACAAACCAAGAACAAAATAATTAGACTTTCAAACTACAGACATCAGTACAATAGTGACACACTACAAATAAATATTATATACAGATAAAGAAATCAAATTCTAAAGTCTAAACTAAGATGTCGGGATTCATGCCTTCATGGACATTTTAATTCTAAAGTTTAAAGAAATTTTAAAAACATTGGGCTTAGGAGTATGGTTTGGGACTACATAGACTAACTTTGAAGATGAGCTACGAAGGAGAACTTACAATCTTGCATGATGGTCCTATTGTTCTTTCATTGGATCACTACTGTTTAAGAATTGTCTGGTAATTGACATATTGTTAGTTGTAGCACTGACTGTAGCATTCTTGTAATACTTGTTGAAGTTATAGGTTAAACTCATTGCTTGTCACTGCCATTCACTCTTGATTTCTGACGTTATGCAGATGTCTGGATCCTAAGCTGCTCTATTTTCTGTTATTGAGTGGTGTTTGATTTCATATGGACTTAGCTGGTCATAACCCTCCTCTGTGATGTTTTTGCAGAATTTGTGCAAGTCCTCTCTCACTCTCACCTGAAAATGCGTGTATGGGAGCGTGGTGCTGGTTAGTTTCTCTATCACTTACAAACTGTTCTTTGCCAGGAGATTTTCATATATTGGATAGTCCCTTCTTATGTTCAGTAGATAGAATGGGAGTTCTGTTCGTCTTTCTATTTCTGGTGAAAAATATCAAATACTTGAGAGCCGGATTTTTGTATTTGGATTGTGGGTGCATTCTTTAACAAAGGGTGATTGAACTGCATTCATGTTGACAAAGAAAAGAATCGGTTGGTTGTATGGGATGTGAGATCCATGATACCCGAATCCTTTAAATTAACTAGCATGGTTCTCTGCACCTTCATTACTTCGTTCAGATTTCACCAACATTTTGGTTTTCATTATGTGTGATTGAACTTGAAATGTTGTTATTTCATCCTTGAATTTTAAGACAGTTTTGAATTTTTGGCTAAAATTTTTATGTAACAGAAGCTAAAACCGCAACTAAATAAGAAATGCAATATATAAATATTCTTGTATTACACATCTTCTGAGGGACTCAAAAGATGAAGGTATTTGAGTTATCATAGGATGTATCATGTAATAAAATAGAAATATATTGTATATAAAACTTTAAAATGTTATACCTCTAGTTTGATTGAAATGCCATAGCTTTTTTATTAATCATTTTATCCAAAGAACCTGCAAAGCCAAAAGTTTGCATGATTTTTTCTTACGAAAAGCTTGCTTTGGGCGACCACAGTTGGGCTTTTTTAATTGGTAACTTAGGCTGCTCAACTAAAACTGGTGTACAATTTACAGGAGCAACACTGGCGTGTGGAACTGGAGCTTGTGCAGTGGTGGTAGCAGCTGTTCTCGAGGGTCGGTCTGAGAGGGTAAGTAGTATATGGTATGATTTCAGGTGACTCTAGGAGATGCTTTTAACACCCAATCTCCACAGTTTTCCTCATACTTAAAACCTTTTTGCTGTTATAGAGTTGCAGTGTCGATCTTCCCGGGGGGCCATTGGAGATCGAATGGAATGAGAAAGACAATCATGTTTACATGACTGGACCTGCTGAGGTGGTCTTTTATGGATCTGTACGCATTTGATTTCCACCTTTTTGTTTATTAGTAAATTATCCGCTTTAATCGGGATGTTCATAGATTATGCGTCTGATGTAGAGTATGACATGTCATGACAACTTTTTAAACTGTGCTGTATTTTTATCCCATGATAGTGCACTGCAGAATGAACAGGGCTTCTTCTAGGGTAGGGAATAGGGACCCCACTTAGGTAAGCAGAAGAAGACACTTGCCAGAGGCACAGAGTTTCTAACAACGGATTAGGACCACAGATAATTACTATTAAATATTTAAACAGAAAGTTGTTTAAGTGTTATCCTTGTCACAATCGAATACAATAATAAAATGAATATTGGCAATTGGCTAGCGCCAAAGCCATGGTGACATGGTTATTTACCTCCAATCACCCCCTATATTAGCAGTGACTTTGCTTTGTAATTTGCACCGTTAGTTTTTGTTCTACTTCTACCCATATGAAATCTATCTGTTGAGAGTTCATATCATCCTTCACCCACGTGTTATTGTCATTTCTGCTGAGTGCTGGAATGGTGGATTGGTGGGAGTCGTGGGACCTCTTAATAACACTTGGCACTTGGGGTGGGCCGTGGGGGGCAATTCCTTGCCTCAAGAGCGCGAAGACTGCGAGGGTTGCCTGCCGGCCCTACCCATCCACATCTCCTGGTGTGGCTTTCCAAGCTCTAATAATGACATCGACTAGTCTACTCTCTGCTCTCTGGATTGGTAAGCATGTCCATCCTGTAGGGCATCTAGAGGACATACAAGGGGTGTTTTGGCAGCAGGAACTCGTCGAAAGATGATCGTAGAAGTGGTTTTTGTCTGTCTTTTGTAACTTTGTTTGTATAGGTGCGGATTGTGCAATCTGAAAGTGGATCCAAGGGAAAAGGAAAAAGAAAGGTTGCAACTTGCAACTTCAACAGTTCTTGGAATGCCTCCTGAATATGTATCTACAGTCTGAAGTCTAAGTGGCGGTGCAAACAAGCTCTTCTTTTAGCAATTATTTGAATAATGAGGACTGACGGATTGGGGATGGCTTTAGTTAAAACGTAAAAGTTAGTTTATACTCTTTTATTTTATAGAGCACAAGTAGCTATAGGATATATATTAAATTTCTTTAACGGTTTGGTCCGTTTGGCGATCAAATAAAAGGACGCTCTTTTATATAAATTGAAAGTTTGAAAACCTTAAATGGCATCTCCCTGGAGAAGATAACGCTAGAAGTAAGAATTAGTAGACAATTTCATTTATGAATTATGATTAATTAAACTAAGAGATTAAAAAAAAACAGTTAATGATGTGCAAGCCAATTGGACAAAGGACGAGTGCCCATGATCAAAGTTCATTACTTGATAGTTACCTAATTGGTAGTGTAAAATTCTAATAAAAAGATCAATGGGTACCCGCAGTTGTGGTGGATTCTGCGGGCCACCAAATCTCCGAAATTGACTCCCCATCCTGTCTGTGAACCCCAACCCGAGTCCCTATCCTTCGGCGGATTGCACTCTTCTGATCATAATAAAATTCATTTAACCTTTTGAGGTGGTGGTAACGCTCTCTTCTGCAGTGCAATTCCCAGTGTTTATTTTGGATTTGGAGTTTGAGAGCGCACCGTCGTCAGCTTCACCTTTGAGCTTGTACTAGTATGTTATTTTTCTTGGGTGCAATTACATAAAATAATAAATCATAAAAGATTATGGTGCGTAATTTATTAATTGTTGGACGCCATAACTTGGGCATTGCCTCTATCATGTTAAGTCTTGTCGTCCACTATGTAGGCCCTGTGAAATATGTACAGACGTTTACAATAATTTAAGTAATCCACGGGAAACCTACGTGAGCAATTCATAGGAGCGCCAGGTGTATACTAATTACTATGCAACTTTTTTATTTTCCTTTAGTTTTTAAAATATTGAAGTTGGGTCATGGGTGATGGTGCTCAACTCAATTTCCATTCCGACACCAATCAACCCCTTGATAATATATAGTGCATAAGTTGCTATCAATACAATGACATAGGCACAGAGAGCCAAGCCGTTTGGTATAGAAACATCCTCTGATAGTCTGATGGGGGTCCTACGGAAGCAATTAGATTGGACAAGCGTGACCATTAATTGAAATAGACTTCCTTAGTTGACTGAAAGAGCTAGATGGAAAAGTAAGCAGCATCGATCAGTTCGATGAATTTGGGCGGTTAAAGCCACTAATCAAGCCTCTCCTGCCTGATACAGGAGGACAATGCCAATCCCACAACCACCATTCTGTCAACTCAACTTTTTGGTTATGAATAAGTTAAAGAACATTAGATTTAATTGCCCGCACCTTCACCTTGTCCTCATCCAAAAGGCATTCATTCTTTCGAACAAAAACAGAAAAAAAAAAACATGTTAAAATATTACATTAATAATAATAACAACGAAATAACTAAACCAAAGCGGTCCACCCATCTCCTTTCCAAGGTTACTTAGACTACAAGGTAGTGAGTTTATAGTCCTTCCTAGTTCTATCTTCTATCACATACAAGCTAGTATATAAGCCTTTTAGTTTCTTAGATCGATTCTAACTTTTGGTGATTACCAGCAAACAACAAAATTCTAAGTTTTGGAGTTTAGACCCGCTATGGTAATTGGAACTGATTGGATGTTAGAAGTTCCTCAGGGATATTTGAGTGTAATTACAGCTTAATATAATTATTTACAGTGACAATTATAAAGGTGATCAGTATAATTATTATTATTCAAGTAATGGAGTCAAATCAAGTATGCTGGATTGGGTTTTCCAGCTTAATATAATTATTAGAGAGTGCCGGTGGTATTCTTCCATTTTTTTTTTTTTAGATTTTTTCTTAGAAGGGTCTACGGTTGGGTTACAGGTTGCTACTATATATAGAGTAATTAAACGCTGAAGTGGGTTAATTAGTAGTTAATATATTGAACATCAATCATTATAAAGTTGAAGGATGTCGATGATATATATAGATACCACAACATTATGTTTCAATTCAATCAATGTTACAAACGAAACCACAGATCTGATCCAGGACTCCCTCTACTATGGAAGGGTTTCCCTTGTCTTACATGCACAATCATGTCAACATTTTAGTGAGGTTGTCTACTTGCAAAGAGGGCACACACACAGACAAACTATGGTTTATGGTTTATGCATGGACAATTGGACATCACATGCCGAGAAAAGCCTCATGCTATATATATAACCTAGAGTGAGAGAGTTTAATTTATAGAGTCTAGTTAAGAATTTCAGAGTCACAGATACATATGGACAAAGATGGTCGTCGAAGCAAGCTTTTGGTTCTAAGTATCACTCTCTGGTGTCATGTCCATAGGTGGAAACAAAATGGTCGGCCATGGGAAGTATCATCTTGATCTCTTCTTCGTCCATCCTCCACAGTGTGTCGGAACAACAGTAGTCCCATAAAGGAGAAGCCATGGGAGGATAGGAACTGCACCCTTCGTCCTTGCGTCCCTCATAAACTGGCCCACTAATCGCCTCTTCTACTGAAGGGAACTCCTTCCATATTTGATCATCCATGGGGTACCATATCGCATCGGCTTCCTCGCTCACCTCTCCTCTCACGGCAGAAAGATCAGTAGAGCTACCACAATTGTGCAAGCTGCTTATTCCTTCTCCGTTATGGGTTTCGGGCAATGAAATTGATGAAGCCGCTGGAGGATTATTTGTGGAAGGAGAAGAACACTGAGAAGACGATGATGAAGGTGATATAGACCGCTTTCGCTCTTGTGCCTTCTTCCTCATATGCGTCCTCCAATAATTCTTTATCTCATTGTCAGTTCGGCCTGGTAATTTCCGAGCAATTCTGGACCATCTGTGAGTGACTTGGGTTAATTAAAATTTTTAAGTGGAGACAGCAAACAGGAACAGATTACAGATATGATATGTGTTATATATAAAGATTAATTGAAAGAAAAAAGACCGATTTATCGATCATGATGATCAAACCTATTGCCCCAACGAGAGTGGAGTTCGAGCACGAGCTGCTCCTCTTGAGGCGTCATCCGTCCTCGCTTGAGACCGGGATGCAGGTAATTAACCCATCGTAACCTGCAACTCTTTCCTGTTCTGTTCAAACCTACAACAAAATCAGGTGGTTAAAGGTAGCTTCCCCCACCCCCCTCCAAATAAGCCTACCTAGCAGTAGTGTCCCCCGCCACCTTCGAACCTGAAACTTTGGCTATGAAATCCCATCGCCGTTCTCCGAATAAGCCAACGAAGCACACCAGTTGGAGGTCCTCCTGCTCAGTCCACGGACCCTTACGTATTTCTTCTTGCACCATCTTCATTGCCTCCTGTCCCTCCCTGTCTTTTCCTTCTCCGATTGCCGATCGATCGGTGAACGGTGATCTAGCTAGCTCCGCTCTCCCTCCCTGTCTTACCAGGCTACCAGCTACTCTCTCTCTCTCTCCACGTATGTACCTACTAATTATAACTAGCTTGTAGTACTTGTGACCTTCTTTCAACCTCTGTTACTCATATTTATACACACACCCCTATGGTTGGGACTTGGGATTTGGGAAGCTTTCTAAAATATTCTACTACAGTACGTCTTAGCTAGGCCTTTGTTTATTGGTTACTCTTATTTTATTATTTTATGGTTCAAGTCTTCGCCCTACACGTGGCGATAATTGATACATGCTTTCGATTGGGACCATCCTTTGACGGCCACCTCCTTGTCTAAATTTCATGAACAAAATGGTTCCTTTCTATACAATACTGCAATTACTCTGTAACTGTTCCTCCTGTCCGAATACAATTAATTATTTGTTTTAATCGGCCGGCCGGCCGTCCTGTAACCGATCGAGATTCTGAATCCAGACTCCAGAGGTTTATTAATTTGGAGCAGATGTCCGTCTGGAACTGGGGACTTGTGAAATTTAATTGTTCTACTTGAATAAACATGGGGTTCATCTAATGACTGACTAATGGGCCGTCAGAAAAATATGCATCAAATAACCTGTACAGGACCCACTGGAAACATTCGACCGGCAATCTAGAGACTTACGAAGACCATGTGCAGATAGATTATATCGGTTCATATTGTTGGTTCCTCTAATTTGCGTGGTTTAGTTGATCATGATTAATTCATGGAGAATTTTCTCTTGACACTTACGAACTAACTATATTTTGGAGCTAACCAAAAAAGGAAATCTCGATAAAGAAAAGCTTGATACAGACTTGATCAATCGGACCGAAAGAGAAATCCCTGGAGCTCTTTTTTTTCTAGTATGATGAAGGGGTCATTTGGCAAGTCTTTTTAAAAGATTTTTTTGGTAGTTCTAACAGTTAAAAGACTTTTTAAGATTTTGCATTAAGATCTGAGCAACTTGAAGTCCAAAAAAAATACAAAAATTTCTATTTAGAGTTTCCTGAAAATTGCTCAATTTAGATTTTTCACATCTTTTCCGTATATTAATTTTTAGCGGCTAGATATGCCACAAACCAAACAGGAAAAGACCAAAATGAAGATAATATCACTAGCTGACAAACAAGATAAAGCAAAAACGTGAAGAACTTAACAAAATAGTATTAGGTATATGAATTGGATTACAGGGATGTGTCTCTCTCACCAGTCGTAAGCAACTACTACTACTAGAGAAATCAACCCCACAGCGTTCACAGGTTTGAACTCTACAGGGCTGGTAATTTGGAGTTAATGGGCCGGGCTGGCTTTGATGAAGCCACGAGTGAAATAGATATCGCTCATTAAGTAAATAAATTGGAATTAGGTTTTATATATACACGTTCCCTGTAGCCAGATTTAGGGCTAATCATGGGCCTATATGTTAATGTCCGCGTGATGGATTTGTATAGAATATGGCCCACTGCCATGTCCAGCTTCATTTGTACCCAATCTTACAAAACAAAACTTCTCTATCACCCTTCTTATTTTTTTAATCAATAAAATAAGCTTAAAATAAATAGAAATGAACTAGGACCACCTTGTGGGCTTTGAAGAAGCATGGCCTTCACAATGATGAAATGATCCAGACCCATTGATCGATGGACTGCTAAAGTAGACAATGCACTAGTCAATACAACATTTGGCCCATCACTGATTCTATATAATAGATTGGTCCAAAATCCAACTCAAAAAGGCATAGGATAGGAACCAATTGAATGAATAAAAAAGCAAAGTCTAGTTTTAAGCTAAGCCCCCCCCCCCCCAAGTGCATATTCAACACACTATACACTCCTCTTGGTTGTCTAATATCATAATGTTTACTTGCTTCTGGATAGATAATCTTATTTAGTGCAAGAGGGTACTTTAATATATGGGCTGAAAAATGGGTGGAGGTGAAGTCATGTGACTGGGCTACTATCATCCACATTATATTTGTGGTGGTGATGTTAGCACTGTATCCGGCATTGTACGAGTAGCCCAATAACAAAATAATTAAGCAAAGGGTGACGCGTTTGTTTTATTTTTGGGTGGGCCACTGGGCCGAGCCCGCGAGCGAGAGTAGCCAAAAACATGAACCAGTATGACGTGGATGCCACTCATATTTTGTGCCCACCCCACTTAAAAACTTCTTATCGCTTCTATCACTCTATTTATCAATTACAATTACAATTGCAATTATATTAAGTGAACCTTATAATATTATATTATATCCTCCATGTGTTCGACGCTATGCCACGATTACTTTGTTTCTTTTTATTATCTACCAATACCAATAGCTAGCAACAAGGCAGAGAGAGAGAGAGGTAATTAAATCATGTGTCTTGGTGTTGGTTGTTGCGGCTTGCACTTTGGAGAATGTTGTCTCTTTCTCACCTCTAAAAAGACTAAAATGCAGGCCTCTTGATTTGGGTCGGTGGAAACTGGACAGAGCCTCAACAAAGGTAGCTTACCTGTTTAAGTCATTTATTATTCTTACCAAAAAGAAAGAAGTTAGATTGCTAGTGATAGGAAGAAACGATCATGGGTGAGTGAAGTTGAAGATGATTATGATAATTGGTGCTGTTGATCATTCTATTCCTATCTATCTTTCATTCTTTCTCTAGTCTTTATATAACTATTAATAGATGTAAAGAGACAATGGACTACTCGTTTGGCTTTCAAGCTCAACGTACGAAAGAGCACAGTTTCACTACTGGTCGTGCAACCCTGTTACTTGGTTGCTTTATTTGCCATTTAAGTTACAAACTTTGAATCCCAAGCTGAGATTCCCTTTTGTTTATGGGGGACTGTTAGTGTTATGCTGATGAAATTGCTTAAAGCCCACCTCTGTTTGTCTGATAAGAGAGACAATGTGTGTATGTGGCCGGGAATAATATCCATTTGGACAAAGAAACACGAGAACTTGATGATGAAAATTGGAGTGATTCACAGCATATATATATCAGTCCACATGTGACGAGACACTGGGTTTGGGTATTTGAGAGACAAGTAGAGACTAGAGAGGGACCTCAAAGCTAGCAGCCTAGCACACAGAGACACACACACACTTGGACCTCAGAAATCAGAATCATGATTTTTATTTATTTTTCACTTTTTTTGGATGGTAAAGCAGAATCATGACTTTTGGTGAGCCACCTCGTCCGAGTCAAAATTTTGACAGATAATTAATTGTAAAAAGTTAACGTGAGACCAATTTCTATTACAAAAGCGGTTTAATTAATTTTAGATATTCCCTTCAGATTCCTTCTCCATACTCTGAATATGAACCAACTCTTATCTCCTATCATATCACCCTTTACATGGTGCATTCTATATTTTAAAACAAAAATTTAGTTTCTAGTGTTTTAACTTTTAACAACTCGATTAGACCCAAAAACTAATTACATAACATAAGACACAGTACACTTGTTTTCCTCTCTCAAATACCCTTAATTTGCTCTCTCCAACTCCAACCTTCTCTTCTCCTATTAATTACAAAACTCCGAAGTGAATGCCGATTTGCATTCATTCAATAGATTAATGCAATTTCTGATGGATTTAAATGACTGTTATAATAATATAAGGAGTCAAATCCTTGTACTGGAACCCTTACCCTCTGTGAACCGTGCTTATTCCTCGGTTCTCAGAGTTGAGAAACAGAGAGAATTCCAGTATATTCTCTACACCAGAAAAGGTTACAAAAGCAGTGTTTATATACAAGAATAATCCCTAACTAACTAAAAAAGTTGACAGAAAAGAAAACTAAAAGAATATTGCCAGCTCAATAACAGAATGCCAGCTTGGCTAGTAAAGGATAAAAGAAAATAAAAGAAAATAATGAATAAAGATAATAACTCTACATGCAAATTTTCCCTTTCAAAACCAATTCAGTTTCTGTTGACAAAAATCCATCAATTGTTTTACCACTACCCTCTCCAAATAATATTTCAGATCTTTTACCAACCTCTACATCAGATGTATCATCACCTATACCAACAGCAAATGAGCCCAATGAAACACCTGATATTTTGAATTCACCAACCTCTGAACCAGCAGCAAAAACCATTGATCCACCTTATGATTTACTTCCTGAAATTACAAAACCAGAAACTATAGTCCCAATTAATATTGACAACCTACCCCCTATCAGACATAGTACTAGAATTAAAAAGAAACCAACATGGTTTACAGACTATGTTACTAATTTGGCTTGCAACAATGTTAGAACTACTGACAGAATCCTCAATCAGTCATAGGTTCATGCATCAACACCTCACACACCTCCAACATATCCATTTATTCAATCACCTTCACTTTCTGCATCATATTTATCCTTTTTAGCTAATGTGCCAAATATTCAAGAACCAACTTCTTATAATCAAGCCAGTACTAATGTTGAATGGAATAAAGCATTGAATAAGGAATTAGAAGCTTTAGAGAAAAATGAAACTTGGGAACTCACTGATTTACCAGAAGGAAAAATGGCTATTGGTTCTAAGTGGGTGTATAAAGTGAAGTTGAATCCGGATGGTAGTGTGGATAGATACAAAGCCAGGCTTGTAGTAAAAGGCTTTCACCAAGTTGAAGGGATTGACTATTTTGATAGTTTCTCTCCTGTGGCCAAAATAGTAACTGTAAAAATTTTTCTTGCAATTGCAACATCTAAATCATGGCCTATCCATCAATTGGATATCAATAATGCATTCTTGCATGGGTATTTGGATGAGGACGTTTACATGCAACCTCCAAAAGGGTATTTTAAGGTTGCTAAGGGTCAGATCTGCAAACTGAAGAAATCACTCTATGGGCTTAAACAAGCCTCAAGACAATGGAATGCTGAATTTAGTGACAAAATTAAAGCTTTTGGTTTCCATCAATCAGCTCATGATCATTGTTTATTTGTTAAGCACACATCTAACTCCTTCGTTGCACTGTTAGTGTATGTAGATGATGTGCTTCTAATAGGTACTTCAGAAGCAGATATCATTTCAGTCAAACAGTACTTGGATAAGCTATTCACTATCAAAGATCTTGGCTATGCCAAGTATTTTCTGGGTTTGGAGATTGCTAAGAG